GACGGATAGCTGCCAGCCTGGCCATCAAAGGTCACATGCGAACCCAGGAGCTGGTTTGCATGACAATCAAGTTGGTCCAACAAGACCCCCAAACCCGAGCTCACCCTCCCCCTTCTTCCCCTTGCTTCCCCCTTCCAGCTCCCTCCTCCCAGGTTTCCCCCTCCTTCTCCCACCCTCTCTTCTCTCCTTTCCCGCCTCCTTTCCCCAGTCTCACCAGAGTTTTATTCCCTCCTCACCAGTTTTGTTAAATAGAGAGTTTGTGTTAATGAAAATATGTGTATTTTATTTTACATCAGGAAGGAGGATTAGGGAGGGGTAAATGGAAGGATGTGAGGGAGGAATGAGGCACAAGACCCCAGTGGGGCACACCAGGGAGACTGTTAGTGCTCCTCAGGGTGGAAGCTCTCCCACAGGGCCTCCTGGATACTGACAGCCCCCTGATGGACCTCCCGGATAGCAGCCTGCAGAAAGTGCAGCCAGGCTCGCAGCAATGCGTCCAAGAGAAGCACCAGAATGCCCAGGGGTAGCTCTGGCTCCATGTTGCAGAGTGCTGTGGTGTCCCAAGTGAGGGCAACCAGAGCATGCAGAGACACAATGCTTTTCTGTCCCTCATTGGGGTAGACAAGCAAGCAGGGAAACTTTAGAACTGGCTGTCTGGGGGGAGGGGGAGTCCCTTTAAGCACAGACCTCAGATAGCCTCAGGCAGCAGTCACACACAGTAAGTCCTGACCTGGTGCCCTGCCGGAACTGGTTCTCAACAGCCTTAAATGCAATTCAGAGTCCACTCAGTGTGGACGTGCTATTTTGAAATAGCAAAATGCTATTTCGAAATGTATTTTGGGAATAGACACGTTATTTCAAAATCTATTTCAAAATAACTATTTCGAAATAACACTAGTGTAGACATACCCTGTGTGAATGAGAATTTCAGCCCATTTGCAGGCACTGCCAGAAAGCCAATAGGTCTGTACATTGTTCAGTAATATGCTCCCAGCATTAGACCTAGGACATTTGCTTCTCTCCGTGTCTCCAGCAGAATAGCTGCTTCTAATGCCAGTGGATATTTCTGCTAGCAGCTCAGACTATCATTCATTATTTCCCCCCAAGTTCCGAGCTA